GCGCACCACGCCGACCGTCCGCAACGCCCGGACAGCAACGGGGGCTCAACACCTCGACCCCCGCAGCCCCCAGGCCCCGTACGTGAAGCCTAGCCGCCGTTACCGACCAAGCAGCGACCGCCCAACCATTCGGCCCTCCTGCACGCGGACCGACAGCCGACCACCACGCACGTCCGCCACCGCCGCGTTCGCCGAACACCGCCGCGACGCTGCCAGTGCAGGTAACGCTGGGGGACGGCACCGTGGTGGAGATCCCCTTCTACGCCGCCACGACCAGCCGGAAGTACCGGCTACGTACGGCAACAGGGAAGTGGATCATCCGCTTCGACCGACGAGGTCGACCACGGGCCGTCCACCCCCTTCCTGTCACCTTCCCGTAAAAAGAGAAGTGATGTGACGACCCATTAGTGGTCGTCACTAATTGCACCGGGTCGGACATCTGCCCGACGCACCGAGCCGACCATCCACCGGTCGCGTGATTCATCCCCTCCGGGGGGGATGCTACGCGCGAAAAAGCGCGTGGGGAGGACCAGCACTAGTATATAAGCCGGCTCGTCCGAGGAGCCGACACCATTCCTATCCTGAATCCGATTCCAGCACCAGGCCTCTGGGTGTCCCCGAGGCTTCCTAGACCAGATTCACGACAGTCGACGAAGACGGGAATACCCTCTTCGGAGCCTGGGAGTTCCCGGCGTTCGACTTTCCTACATACGACCAACGAAGATGGATGTAACCCCTTCGCTGTCTGGAAGTACCCGGCGTTCGGTTTCCTATCTGCGACCGACGGAGGTGGGTTTAACCCCTTCGCTGCCTGGGAGTACTCGGCATTCGGTCTCCTGTGTCCGGCCGACGGAGGTGGGTTTGACCCCTCCGCTGCCTGGGGGTACCCGGCATTCGGCTCCTTTCTCCGGTCGGCAGAGGTGGGCGTGCCCCCTCTGACGCCAGGGTATACTCGGCATCCGACTCTCCTACAGCGCGTCGCGCCGCCGCCCGCGGCTCCGCGACCGCGAGATCGTTCGTCCGTCCGCGCGTTAGATATAAGTTTGTGTACAGAGCAGTGTGACCGTCCGGGTCCCCTAGGTTAAGTGTGTATATAATGTAAATAATCATCGAATAAACCATTTGTGACTCAACTCGTGTACGCAAGTTTGGCCTTCCGCTCCCGAATCCTGGTTCCGGCGAGCCGTCCGAGGCTAACCGAAAACGCACCGTTACAATGAGAAGGAGTAAGGACTGATAAATCTTGAGGATTACTGGAACAAGGAGTTAAAGGCCTGGAATTAAGGACTGCTTTAATTCCAACAAGAAGAGTATACCATTCCTCGAATGTTAAAATGAGGTTCTTAGTTACTACGTTGAAGTAGTATTTTGCTCGCTTCACCGCCGCCTCCCATAGTCCTCCGAAATTAGGGGTTCTTGGAGGAATAAAGCTCCATTTTATTTTTTGTCTAGCCAATTGCGTCTGTATCGTTTCTTCGTTATTCTTTAGAAATTCGTAGATTTCTCTTAGCTCCCTTTCAGCTCCTACGAAATTCGTACCATTATCGGAGTGAAGGTTTGAGCAGATGTCACGCCGACCCGTGAATCGATGTAAGGCTGCCAAAAAACTCTCAGTTGTCAGACTCGTTCTATATGAACTGCCTTTGTATTAAAACAAATAAAGATAGCAACGTATGCCTTAGAGATGTGGATCCGACCTCGATGTCGGCTCTCTCTTATTTGTATAGAACCCGCATAGTCCACTCCGCAGGTCGCAAATAGACGCGTAAAGCTTTCAACTCTTGATGCTGATAAGTCTCCCATCTTGACTTGTGTGTCTCTTATATGTAGTCGAAAACAATAAATACAAGAACGGGTAACCTTTCGCACTTCTCGTCGTCCTGAAAGTGGCCAGTACCGTTGCCTGACTGCGTACTATAATTGCTCAACTCCGCGCAATAATGCAATTTAACATGTTCTGCCTTGAAAATCAAATTCGTAACCTTATGCCTTGCAGGCAATATTATAAGTTGTTTCGCTTCTTCTGAAATCTTCGCATGATGCAAGCGACCACCGACTCGCAACAATCCATTCGAATCCAAGTATGCGCTAAACGCAATGATTTTGCTGCTTCCTTTGAGAGGCCTTTTAGTCTTCAAACAGTGGATTTCTGAAGAGAATGCTTCTTGTTGTACCACCCTTAGGATTGTCACTTCTGCTCTTTCCAATTCTTCGACGGCAAGTGTTCCCACGTGTTTTGAGTTGCAACAATTATCAATAAATCTGTGACAGTAAGCTAGGATTCTGATAAGTTTTTCAAACAATGACAAATCTGGTAAATTAATAGACGCAGTGCCGGTTACTCCCAGAGCGCTTACGATCTTCATTTCCGGCAAGTTCGCTAATTTCACAGACTGCTCAGGCCAATCTTCCTTTCGATAAATCCAATTAGGTCCGAATCACCATAAGTTATTAATCTTCAACTTATTAGCGGTGGCCCCGCGAAATAGAATGTCAGCTGGATTCTTATCCGACGGTAGATGAAATTTGATATGTGAAATGAGCCTATGTATCTTTGAAACTCGATTTGCCACGAATGTTTTTAAAGTGCTTGGACATACATGAATCCAACTGAGAGTACAATTGTAGAATCCGTTCACAAATAAACTTGTCGATTTTATCTCCAATTGCTTCTGAAGTCGTTCTGTAAAGCTTGGCTAATAGAAGAGCTGCGCATAATTCGAGCTTGGCTAATGACACAGTCTTCAACGGAGCAACTCTTGATTTTGCACAAAGTAAGTATAAATGATGGTTACCATCTTCCGTTGAGGTTACTCCGTATACGCATGCGCCATAGGCCCTTTCGGACGCGTCGCTGAATCCAAATATATTTATCCTAAAAAAATCATAAAAATGAAAAGGTCAGGCCATGTTCAAAAGAAGGTACTGAAAAATTTAAACCTTTAAAAATTTAAACAATCTAATAATAAATTATCACGAAAAGTAACTGATATGTTATTCAAGGTGCCAGTTCAAAGTGAACATACGTAAAGTGTATATTATCTAAATTTAGTAATAATATATTACCATGAAAAGTAACTGATATGTTATTCAAGGTGCCAGTTCAAAGTGTGAACATACGTAAAGTGTATATTATCTGAATTTAGTAATAATATATTACCATGAAAAGTAACTGTGATATTTTATTCAAGGTGCAAGTTCACATTGAACATACATACATATAAGTAAAACTGATTACAATTTGATTCTAGAAAATAAGTGCGATATGTTATTCTTAGTGCACAAAATATAATAGTCGTTTATAGAGATTTGATTTGAAATTCATACTAGCCCGTACAATGAAAAATAATTGCTCGTAATTCCAGAGTACCAATTTGTTAATGACTCACAAGGAGATGACGCCAATTAGAAAATCGTTTTTCCAACGAGTCATAGTGCGTTCGATAGCTTACATGTAGCTAATAAAAACCCTAAAGGCGTTTGTGCCAATGGGCCTTCGTTTAGGAGAAATTACCAAACAAAGTTAGGGTCACGCAACTATGTCCCATGTAAAGAAGAACATTAGAACCTTTTTCGAGTAAGCGGCGTAGTTGAGTCGACTAAGGCTCTCGTCCATACATTTTTGTGCCGGCAACGTGCGTTCGAGTCCCGCCGACGACTGCTTCGCTTTTTTTTTTTTCAATTTTGGATATATAAAAGACACTACTTTAATTATTATTTATTTTTTTTAATTTATTTTGTTTTTCTATGTAAAAATAAGGACATTTCGGGATGTTTGAACGCAATACGAAATAAAAAACAGTTTTAAAGTCATGAACTGATTATATTTCTCATGCAATATACATGTGTTATTTTGTCAAGAATATTTTGTACAATATAAACTTTCTTTTATCTTTATATATATAAATTACGTGTCACGTTGTTTGTCCGCGATGGACTCCTAAACTACTTAACCGATTTCAATCAAATTTGCACACGGTGTGCACTTGGATCCAACTTGAAACATAGGATAGCTTACATCTCAATTTATAGTCGCAATATTATTTTATTGCAAATTATTTGTTTATTATTATATGACAGTCACAATTATCTGTTATCTCCACTGTTGTCACAGATGGCGATATCTGTTGACTGGATTGTCATTTACTATGTACTTTTCAAAGTAAATATTATTATATGACAGTCACAGTTATCTGTTATCTCCAAACGATTGTCACAGATAGCGATATCTGTTGACTGGATTGTCATTTACTATGTACTTTTCAAAGTAAATGACTTTCCTATTTTGTTTTGCGCGGTGACTTCGTGAACAAAGCACGTATACATCGACAAAAACGACACCAAGTTCGTGTTGTCAGTCCCGATTATTCCTCCGAAATAGTTGCTGTAAAATTCGTGGAAATTATTCCTGCTTTTTAATTGTTAGTGCCTCATTGTTCAAAACAAGATATACATGTAAGTATTATCACATAGTTGCTATGCATCAAATCACACTGTGTATGATATATGTATTTTTATGGTCATGAGGTATTTTATTCAACCTATATTAAAAATTATTTTGCACTCCTTATTTCAATGTGCTATAGTAGCATGTTTTACAGTTTTATTTTTAATATTTAAACGTTTAAATTTTTATTTAAAGTCGAATGCCACCGAAAAAATCGAACCTCAGCAACGCGCGGAGCAGAGAGGCACGACGCAAACGTGCTGAAAGAGCTCATCTGTCGACAGAATAAATCTCAACAAGGAATGCAGCTCAAAACATCAGGACAGCGGAGGGTCGTGCACAAGAATCTCAAGAACAGCGTGACGAACGTCTGCGACAGACTATTGCGAGAACAAGAGCGGCACGAGAACAAAACATAGCTACAGCACGAGCACAAGAACGACAGAGGCAGCGGACCAGCCGCTCATTAACACGTGCATCATTTGTTCGTCTTGCTTTCGAATATGCACCAAATATTAACTACTCTGCGCATTCAAAAATTGCTATCGGTGCAATGGATAAAGTATGTCAATATTGTCAGGCATTGAAATTTCAGAATGAAACACCCGGCATGTGCTGCGCATCAGGAAAAGTTGTGCTGTCATCTCTTCCTACTCCGCCGGAACCTTTATTATCCCTTCTTGCTGGCGATTCAGATGATTCAAAATTATTTTTGCGTAAGATACGCAAATTTAATTCTTGCTTCCAAATGACGTCATTTGGGGCAACTAAAATTTGCGATCTCGCATCCGATGGACGTAATTTTGAAACTACATTCAAAATACAAGGCCAGGTGTACCATAAAATCGGGTCATTGATGCCAATGCCTGATAATGATCCGAAATTTCTTCAAATTTATTTTATGGGCAATTGTGAAGAGCGCGTGACAACTCGGTGCCAGTATAATTTCATTGAACAAGCAGAGGAAAGAGCAATTGTGATATTGCTGGAAAATTTTTTAGAAGATCAGAATCAACTAATTCAATTGATTAAAAGAGTTTCGCCACGATTGCAAAATGACAACTATCAAATCGTCATAAAAGCCGACAAAGTCCCATTAGGTGAACATGCTGGCAGATTCAACGCTCCAACTCTTGATGAGGTTGCTGTTATTATGGTTGGTGATCCAGTTGACAAAAGAGCTATAAAAATTACACGGCGAGACAACACTGTTAGTACGATTTCGGATCTACACCGTTCATATGACGCACTGCAATATCCATTAATATTTTGGCAAGGACAGGATGAATATCACCTTAACATCAAACAGTGTGATCCAAATACCGGTAAATTTGACTATTAACTATTTATTTTCTTACTGTATGTACAATTTTTAATTTCTTATTTTATTTTATTTCTTATTTTTTTTTAGGTGCTCAAAGAGATAAAAAAGTTAGTTCAATGAACTACTACGCACACCGATTGATGATTAGACATAATCAGGACAACTACATCCATCGATATCGTCAGCTATTCCATCAATACATTGTTGATATGTATGCTAAGGTTGAAAGCGAACGCTTGCGATTCTTTCGATACAACCAGACTAAATTACGATCGGAAGAATACATTCACTTACGAGATACTGTTGTTGGCAACATCGACGGAAATTTAAACCCCAATGACATCGGTAATGCTTTCATTTTACCTTCAAGCTACATCGGCAGTCCACGGAACATGCAGGAATACATACAAGATGCGATGACTTACGTACGTCATTACGGCCGACCAGATTTGTTTATAACATTCACATGCAATCCGAATTGGAAAGAGATACAAACTTTACTATTATCAGGACAAAAAGTAATTCATCGTCATGATATAACTGCACGTGTGTTCAAACAAAAATTGAAATCCTTAATTGATTTTATTGTTAAATATTCAGTTTTTGGTATCACACGTTGTTGGCTGTATTCGATTGAGTGGCAAAAGCGAGGTTTGCCTCATGCCCACATTTTAATTTGGCTTCAAGATAAAATCCGTCCAGAAGAAATTGATCAAATAATTTCAGCTGAAATTCCAGACCGATCAATTGATCAAGAATTATTTGATATTGTTACCAAACACATGATCCACGGGCCGTGCGGTGCTTTTAACATGACATTACCATGCATGGAAAATGGAAAATGTAAGAAAAATTTCCCAAAGCCGCATACGAATGACACTATCACGGATATTGACGGTTATCCAATGTATCGACGCAGAAATACTGAGAATGGTGGCCACACATTCACGATGCGACTGCCGAATTCTACAAATCAAGTAGAATTTGATAATCGGTGGGTGGTACCATACTCACCATTACTTTCAAAAACTTATGAGGCTCATATCAATGTCGAGCTTTGCAGTTCTGTAAAATCAATTAAGTACATTTGTAAATATGTAAATAAAGGCAGTGATTTGGCCATGTTTGGAGTACAAAATGTAAATGAAAATGACGAAATTACACGATACCAAATGGGTAGATACATCAGCAGCAACGAAGCTATTTGGCATATTCTTAGCTTTTCCATACACGAAAGAGACCCTGCTGTCCAGCATCTAGCAATACATCTTGAAAACGGTCAACGTGTATACTTCACTGAAGAAAATGTTCTCCAAAGAGCGCTTGAGGCTCCAAAAACGACACTAACTGAGTTTTTTACATTGTGTCAAAGATCTGACATTTTTGGCCAATTCGCAAAGACATTGATATATACTGATGTTCCACGTTATTTCACATGGAACAAATCTGGTAAAAAATGGGTGCCACGAAAACAAGGAAAACCACATCCTTCCGTTACAGGCATATTCAAAGCTAAGACATTGGGGCGACTTTACACGGTAAATCCAAAGCAACGTGAGTGCTTCTATTTACGTTTATTATTGGTGAATGTTCCCGGACCAACGTCTTTTGAATTTCTGCGAACAGTCAACGGCCGAGTATTCAATACATACCAAGATGCATGTCGTGAACTGCAATTGCTAGAAGACGATAACCATTGGGACTTAACGCTTGCTGATGCTGCGTTGACATCAACGCCCAATAACATTCGTCAGCTGTTTGCAATTATTTTGACGACATGTTATCCATCACAAGCACACACTTTGTGGGAAAAATATAAAAATTGTATGACAGAAGACATATTGCACCGAATTAGACAAACAGATCAATGCCAAAACATAGATTATACGCCTGAGATGTATAATGAAGCGTTAGTGTTGATCGAGGATTTATGTGTTTTAATTTCAAATTTACCACTTAATCATTATGGTATGCCATCACCTGCTCGCCCAGCCGCCGACTTAGTCAATACCGATTTACAACGAGAAAAACAATATGACCATCGTAATTTAGCAACAATTATCGTGAACAGTGAGCCATTACTGACAGCAGAACAAAAAATTATTTATCGGATTATGCTGGGTGTTGCTGCTAAACAAGACGGTTTTTTTTCTTGGACGCACCAGGTGGAACCGGTAAGACATTTTTAATATCGTTGATTCTTGCCAAAATACGGTCACAACAGAAAATCGCATTGGCAGTCGCATCGTCTGGCATTGCGGCTACTTTGCTAGATGGTGGGCGAACGGCACATTCAACATTCAAGCTGCCATTGGACATTCATAATAAGCCAAACGCATTATGTAACATAAAAAAGAATAGTGGAATAGCTGCAGTGTTGCGGAAGAGTTCACTCATAATTTGGGATGAGTGCACAATGGCACACAAATATTCACTCGAGGCATTGCATAGAACTATGCAAGATTTAAAAGGCAATGATAAACTTTTTGGTGGTGCTATCTTACTATTATCTGGTGATTTCCGACAGACCTTACCGGTTATACCTCGCTCTACTTTCGCGGATGAGATTAATGCATGTTTAAAACAATCATTCTTATGGCGAAGTGTTGAAACACTTCGATTGACTATAAATATGCGCATACAATTGCAAAATGATCCATCAGCACAAATATTTTCCGAACAATTACTAGATATTGGAAACGGTAAAATAGAACTGCAACCAAATACGCAATGCATTAAACTGCCAGACAATTTCTGCACTGTTCTTCACGGAAAAAATGAATTGATTCAGAGTATTTTCCCGGATATACAGAGTAATTACTTGAATCATAACTGGCTCAGTGATCGGGCTATTTTGGCAGCCAAAAATGTTGATGTTGACGAAATTAACTTCCAGATACAACAGTTGTTACCAGGCGATCTGATGTCTTTTAAATCAATCGATACTGTTGTTGATGAAAATGAAAGTGTAAATTTTCCAATTGAATTTTTGAATTCACTGGATATACCTGGAATGCCACCACATAATCTTCGATTAAAGATTGGTTCACCTATCATTCTTTTGCGTAATTTGAATCCACCTCGATTATGCAACGGTACGCGTTTGGTCATCAAAAAAATCACCGGAAATATTCTTGAAGCAACCATTTTAACTGGAAAGTTTAAAGGAGAAGTGGTCCTGTTGCCACGTATTCCAATGATACCGTCAGATTCTACGATACCCTTCAGAAGGCTACAGTTTCCAATTCGTTTAGCTTTTGCCATGTCCATAAATAAGTCTCAAGGTCAAACAATGTCCATTTGTGGTTTAGATTTGGAAAATCCATGTTTTTCTCATGGGCAACTATATGTTGCATGTTCACGTGTAGAAAAACCGTCGAATCTATTTGTGTTAGCTAAAGACAGGTTAACCAAAAATATTGTGCACCGATTAGTGCTAAATTGAATTGAAAGTAAAAGTATTTATAATTCAAAATAATATATTTTATTGCTACAAATTTAAAACTATCTGCCCTACCTACCTCATTTATAAGTTTAAGTGTCACATGTTATTTACTAACAACTTTGTAATATACTCATTTGTTACAAACTTGAATAACAAAAATAATAAAATTTAAAATTAATTCTTTTGTATTGATTTCTACTTAATATCAACTGTACGAAAATTTTGACCAATCGTGTTCAAAGTCCTTCCTCTTCAAATCCCAATTCAGTCGATTTTTATACCAGCTTTAAGGTTTCCGTCTTCGTTCGTAAATATTAATTTCATTATATTAAGAAGTAACGGTAGTAGAAAATCAGTCATGGAGGTCACCATGTTTTTTTACAAATGGCATCTATGTAAAAAAGCATAGTGATCCTCATGACTGATGTTCTTCTAACTTTCTCCGTGAATAGTTTACTACGAGCAATGTAATATAATATGTAAAAATGAATTTGTTTATGTGTTCGGGCTTTATGCGTTCGCGCATCATTCAACTAATTGAGTTGAAACTTGGTACAGTTGTTGTTGGCACTTGCGTAAAGGTTTCTGACGTAGTACCAACAATGTATAATAGGGGGCGCGCGAGATGTCGATTGAATAATTCACTTCTAATCCGTAGGATCAATCACATTATTATCTCGAGCGAAGCCGAGACAGGGCATACTAGTAATTATATATTTATTTACATATGATAAAAGGTTTCCATCGCTTCGCAATGTTGTGGATAAAAATTGATGTAAGAATAAACATCGCATATCGATGTACATCTTGGCGGTATAAATTATAAATTATATTTTGGTTTATTATTTTTGTTGTGGAATTTTTTATATGTAGAATAAAAGTGTGAAATATTATAAAAAGATGAGACTCGCAAAAGGACAAGCAGATATATTCGTCAGCGTTTACTTGTAAGAAAGGACCTTTGTTAAATAGAGTCCCTCCCTTCTTTCGACCTTTTTAACGGTTTTCACAGAGGGACTCTCACACGTTGTAACGGTCTGCCCAGTTTCGTGGTAGCATTTGTAAAGAGAGCGTGGTACGAAACATCAGTAAAAATGGAGACAACATTTATTACCGATGAAACTGTCGAATATGTGCAACTTCTTGCAAAGTGCGATATTTCGAAGGAAGACTTGACGGATGCGGTCGAATATTTTCGTGGTAAATATATTAATGAAGAATTAATTATCTGCTTTTATAACGTCACAGTATATTTCAAATTATAATGTAAAATAATTGTTTGTAGATATTGCTGTACGCTTTAATTTAATATTTGCTGACGCCCCACGTAAATTTTCAAACAATGCTAAATTAGTTGGCGGCAAACTTTTTGAAAAATTTATTAAACTATTAGGAGAGCATGAAATTTTGGACGACATTGAATATTATACAGAAGAAGAACAAAACGTGGTTGTATGCGAAAATATGCCGAGTACAAGTAAGAATATATCCGATGAATTGGAAGATTATGAACCTCCAAAAAAAATTTCTACGCATAAAGTAGTGCCATACGATACAAAATTAAAGATCGTACTGAGAGCTCAAGAACATCCATAGTGGTCTTTCAAAACATTAAAGCATCATTTTAGAAAATATTTAAACCATCCTTTTGATGTTACGAAATATAAAAAAGCTGTTTTGTCAGGCGGTACTTTTAGAGACAAATTAAATACAATAAAAACTAATGTGTACGATCGCTTCACAGAAGCAAGAAATAAGAATCAATTATAAGAGTTTTAACAAGGCTCTGTAATATAAATATAAATTTAACGTATAAGACGGGCAACAAGAGCCAAATCGCGGATGACAATGCGTTATCCTAACGAAACTAAATCATTTTTCGTTAGAATTAAATACCGGTGCACAAGGCACCAAATTTTTACTTGGACACGGCCAAGATTTTAAATATGAAATAATCTCATATTTTGAGATTTAATTTCAATACCCCTTTAACCCCCCCACGGAAAATAAATAAATGAATGCAAGAAAAAAATATAGATCCGAAAATCGCTGAATCGGGAATCGAACCCGAGACCTTTCGCTTGCCGGGCGACTGCTCTTCCAGCTGAGCTATTCAGATCCTTTCGATTCTATACTTTTCTCTGTTATATATATTAATGTTGGTAAACAAACGCATTTTTTAAGCCAGCGTGTATCAAATATAAGAGTTTTAACAAGGCTCTGTAATATAAATATAAATTTAACGTATAAGACGGGCAACAAGAGCCAAATCGCGGATGACAATGCGTTATCCTAACGAAACTAAATCATTTTTCGTTAGAATTAAATACCGGTGCACAAGGCACCAAATTTTTACTTGGACACGGCCAAGATTTTAAATATGAAATAATCTCATATTTTGAGATTTAATTTCAATACCCCTTTAACCCCCCTACGGAAAATAAATAAATGAATGCAAGAGAAAAATATAGATCCGAAAATCGCTGAATCGGGAATCGAACCCGAGACCTTTCGCTTGCCGGGCGACTGCTCTTCCAGCTGAGCTATTCAGATCCTTTCGATTCTATACTTTTCTCTGTTATATATATTAATGTTGGTAAACAAACGCATTTTTTAAGCCAGCGTGTATCAAATATAAGAGTTTTAACAAGGCTCTGTAATATAAATATAAATTTAACGTATAAGACGGGCAACAAGAGCCAAATCGCGGATGACAATGCGTTATCCTAACGAAACTAAATCATTTTTCGTTAGAATTAAATACCGGTGCACAAGGCACCAAATTTTTACTTGGACACGGCCAAGATTTTAAATATGAAATAATCTCATATTTTGAGATTTAATTTCAATACCCCTTTAACCCCCCTACGAAAAATAAATAAATGAATGCAAGAGAAAAATATAGATCCGAAAATCGCTGAATCGGGAATCGAACCCGAGACCTTTCTCTCGGGTCTCGGGTTCGATTCCCGATTCAGCGATTTTCGGATCTATATTTTTCTCTTGCATTCATTTATTTATTTTCCGTAGGGGGGTTAAAGGGGTATTGAAATTAAATCTCAAAATATGAGATTATTTCATATTTAAAATCTTGGCCGTGTCCAAGTAAAAATTTGGTGCCTTGTGCACCGGTATTTAATTCTAACGAAAAATTATTTAGTTTCGTTAGGATAACGCATTGTCATCCGCGATTTGGCTCTTGTTGCCCGTCTTATACGTTAAATTTATATTTATATTACAGAGCCTTGTTAAAACTCTTATATTTGATACACGCTGGCTTAAAAAATGCGTTTGTTTACCAACATTAATATATATAACAGAGAAAAGTATAGAATCGAAAGGATCTGAATAGCTCAGCTGGAAGAGCAGTCGCCCGGCAAGCGAAAGGTCTCGGGTTCGATTCCCGATTCAGCGATTTTCGGATCTATATTTTTCTCTTGCATTCATTTATTTATTTTCCGTAGGGGGGTTAAAGGGGTATTGAAATTAAATCTCAAAATATGAGATTATTTCATATTTAAAATCTTGGCCGTGTCCAAGTAAAAATTTGGTGCCTTGTGCACCGGTATTTAATTCTAACGAAAAATGATTTAGTTTCGTTAGAATAACGCATTGTCATCCGCGATTTGGCTCTTGTTGCCCGTCTTATACGTTAAAAGAATCAATTAGTTACGCGACGTTTGCTTCAACAGTGGGCTATTGCTGCAGCCGCACAATATAACAAGCCAAAAGAAGAACAAGACAGCAAAGAACATACAAATGTTTTTTATTTCGTAGCATCCAGCACGTGGTTAACCAACTTTTTACACGATTATAGGATATCGAATCGTCGCGTTGTTCGATATGTTTTTAAAAAAGAAGCAATTACACCAGAAGTTGTCATAAAATCAGCGGAACAATTTCAAACATTAATTCAAGCAATTTCGCCAGATTACGATCCCGATTTTGTAATTAATACAGACCAAACAGGATGTGAGTATAGAGTTAATGTTTCGCGAACTTACACGTACACTGGAGAAAAATTAGTTCAATTGTACATAGGCGATTTAAATAAAGTTTCGCATTCATACACCGCCCAGTATTCGCTGACGAAATCCGGGAAGTTATTAAATAAAGTATTTGTTTGTTTGCAAGAATTTTCTGATAATTTTGGAGTACGCGTACAAAAAGATGTAGATAAATTATTCGAATTATGTAAAAATGTCGTTATTACATGTTCTAAATCGGGCAAATTAACAACATCATTATACGCACAGTATTTGGAAAATGTTGTTAAACCGTATGTCGGGGATAATTTGTTTTTATTTATTGTTGATTCTTGGGGAGGACAAAAAAACATCCAAATGTATAACGAAATATTTCGCGACAAAAATAATAAACCAACATGTAATTTACAAATTATACCGCCAAAATGTACTCCGATATGTCAGCCGTGCGACGTTTATTTTTATCGACAAGTGAAAATTATAATTAAGAAAATACAAAACTGTCCAGATGTAATTTCACAATCAGATGACGAAAGCAAACAATTAAATACTCGTGCTGATGCGATTCGTATACAATCTTTAACTCATTATCTGTTATCAGCGCCGAAATTTAAATGTATGCTTCAATATGCATGGTATGCATCCAAATTAGCTGACAATAGAGAAATATTTTTAAATGTGAATCAATTATGCTTCCCTTCAAACATTTATAATAAAACATGTGTATGTGGACAACATAATTCATTTATTAAATGTTCGTGGTGCGAAAAAATTTTATGTTTCCAATGTTTTTACATCAATTTTCATCCACAACATTGCGAAGCGATGGAAACCTTTTATCATATGTAAATAAATATATAATTATAAAAGAAAGTTTATATTGTACAAAATATTCTTGACAAAATAACACATGTATATTGCATGAGAAATATAATCAGTTCATGACTTTAAAACTGTTTTTTATTTCGTATTGCGTTCAAACATCCCGAAATGTCCTTATTTTTACATAGAAAA